CTTCTCAAGTCTATTAATTTGCTGCTGCATACTAGTGTTCTCAGTTCCACCAAAGTAAGGATACAAGGTAGACTCCACATTAAGGAAGAAATCACACTGCATGAAATATTTCAATGATCGAGGTAATGACCCTTGAATTATTTTATCCATATAATTGTTAAAGGTATTGCTAGAGTAATACTTACCAAATGCCGTTCCGAGGGGGCCCAAGGGTAGTAAGTACTGGGAGGCTTTATAGGTGCCTTTAGTATGTATAGGGTCGCCTAAGATCTGAACAAGTGCAACTAATGACAAATCACACGTTCCCCATAAGGGCCAATATGTACACCCTATACTAGTGGAGCCCATCTATACTCCCACTTTACAATGAAAACCTGGTGGTATTTCATACAATATGTATATGCCTTTCCTCGACCATCCACGCGAATAAATTGGGGTCTATATGAGGCGCATATGGCATCAGAGCGTACCCAAACTGGCGGATGACTCGGTCAGGTAAGTGCCACTCCACTCTCTTCTTATTGATTAATGGCACTCGAGCTAACCATATATCCTTACCCGCCAGACATATGTCAACTAAACGTGATAGTACTCATATGAGTATGACTGTCATATCACCTGCACATGTAATTCTCTAGTTTGCTTTAACACCCCATTAAACAACTCAGAAGTGTTGGTAGTGATCACACTGTATTGATGGCCGTTGTTACATGTTAAAGTCCATTGACTTAAATCTCTATCAATCAGCCATTGATGTAGCCCAGCCTTAGCTTTTTGGATGTGCAACATGTTTCTACTAAATAATAATGGCTCGATAGTGCTTCTCGCCATGTACATTTTTTTAGAAAGAAAATCAACTTCACCAACACCCATTTGGTGAGGTGTTGCAAACAATGGCAATGGGGTGCATTTGGAAAAATTCACAGCACCCATGAATTAAACCAACATGCCTTTCTACTATTAGGCACAAATGCGACCTTCCACTAACACTAGGGAGCAGCTCATGCATTTATCACAAGAATAATTTCCAAGTTTCATTGCATTCAGACTAAAAAATGACAAAGGCTACATGGGAGAGATCATTGTTTGAATCCACACCAACTGTAGTAAAAAACATCCCCCTATATTTACCCAGAAGAAAGGTGCCATCAAGGTTAAGTATTGGGCGACAGTACATCCATCTAACAATGGAAAGTCTAAAAGCCTGAAATATTCTCTGAATCCTATGAGAATTTGTAAATTGAATTCTATATATTATTTATGGCATGGATGATACAACTACTTTCATAAATCGATTCAACAATTGTTATGATTCCTCCCAATGGCCAAAAATAGCTTTAATGACCTTCCGCATAACATACTAAGCATTAATTTAAGAAACAATTATGTTAATTTTTGATGAATTTGATTCTAAAATCTCACAAGGCTTATGATCCATTTATTTTCTAATTGCAAATAATATGAAATAGTTGATGAATTGAGATGTACATTGCCGGTGGCCAGTAACAAGAATAGGAATGTTGCAACTATGCTGCTCCCTAGCAAATAATATTATCCAAATTCTTCATAGTCTTTTGCTCAATCTTGCATGCAACTGCCACGTACTTGCCCACCCTCAAAAAAAGAATTTAAATATTTAGAGGGTAGATTTTGAAATATTTTGGGTATTTTGGGCATTTTGCCCCCCCTAAAAATTTTTTTTTGCCCTACTTTTATCAATCCTAAGCATATTTGCCCATTCGTCATAAATTTTTTTTTTGCCCACCCTAGAAAAAGAAGCTGGATCCGCCCCTGCGTACAAGTACTAGATTGACTTTCATATTGACTACATATAATTATCAACTTCTACTTGTTCGATGCGATGGAGACAAATTGAACATTGTTCATGATAAGCCAGCATTGTAAAGCAATATACAAGTATTGACTTACGGCTGAAACACCTCCAATATTGCAATAATTTCATATGATGTCACAAGTCACAAACGTCCCCATCACCATCTACATTCACCTCAACCTGATTCGACACGTCATGATCAACAACATTAAAATCTTGCAATCTAGATCTACTATCCATTGTCTCGTATTCTTCACCGACAACTGACATTACTAGTCTACAATTAGTACCAACCGTCATATTCAACGAAGATGTTTGGGTTGAACTACCTGGAACATCTACTCTAGCATGAAAGAGCTCGACGTCATCTTCCAAACCAAATGACTCATGGTTTTCAGAACTAAATGTCTCATGCATAATGGTGTCTAAAGACTTCTCGACCTCAACATACAAGACAATAAATGATCCATTAGCATGAGATAACACAATGTCACATACTTCATCATCATCGACATGTGACACAATGAACTTACTCCCAACCGGAAGGTGACATACTATGTTGATTATAAATATAGAAGGATTAAACTTTAGTGTTGTAAGCACTCTAATATCGAGTTGCCCGAATTTAGTATTCAACTAGGGGCGTCAAAACAGGTATTTTGGTTGGGTTCGAGTTAAAATCAGAATTATCCAGGGTTCAAACGGGTTGACCCTAACCCGACCTGACTCGCTAACTCGAGTCCAAATGGCTCGGTCGTGGGTTTGCTTGTTTGGGTGCAGACTCGAGCGCAACGTGTGTTCACACGGTGCAGAGTGTGTGAGCGTTCAGTAATCGCGAGTGCGCGTGTGTGCAGATTTGGGTCATTTTGGGTTTCCAGGTCAACCCAAACATGACCTGTATGGTAAACAGGGTGACTCGAGCTTGAAATTTTCTGGGTTAGGTCAAATGTTGACACCCTTATATTCAATGACACTAGTAATGACCAATTCCTACTACCAATATATGTTGGCACAAACTTCTCATCCATAATTAGTTGCCCATCATACACAAGTAATAATGATGCTCCTCCTCTCATTATGTAAGCTTAAAAGCCCTAAATATTAAAAAATCAACGTATAATTTATTATAGATTGATTATAACATAATTAATAAATTATTTACTTCATTGTAAAAAAAAATTCAAAAAAAAGTTTTTAATAAATTTTTGATAAAATTCATCTCATGAGAAAAATAAAAGAATACATAAGCTAGATTTACATCAATTCTTCAAATTGTAGCTTATGAAAATAAATTATTAAGTTAATACAGCATTTTAAATCTAACAATTTCAATTCATTTAATTTTATATCTAAACATCTACTCACAAAGAACCTAGATTAAATACATGAAAAATGGAATTAAGATGAAACTATTTTATTGGCTTAAATTTTTTATGTTTACTATTTAAATATTATATAATTTAATGGATAAAAGGAATAATATATAGTCTAAACTTTATTTTTTAGAGTTGCAAGAGTAAAAACGAAGGCATGAATACCCTTTATTTATTTAGTAAGATTTGGTCAATTAAAAAAATTAAGTTGAATGAAAAAAGCAAAGACTAAACCAAATTAAAGAAAATAAAAAAAGAGTTCAATTATTTTCAAAGACAAAAATTAAAATTTTAATTGGGAAAGACTAAATATTATAAAAAAAACTTAGCAACACTTTCATATTAACAAAAAAAACTATAAAAAAAAAATCCGACAAATCCAACTCTAAGAACTTAGATCTAACAAAAATCTAGCGACTGATACATTTTCACCACACAAAAGCATACATCTAGGGGTGCAAACGAGTTGAGTTGGGCTTGAGTCAGGGGTGTTCGAGTCGATCTCGACTATCAAATATTGAGCTTGACTCGAATGGGAAAATGAGATTGTCGAGTTGCAGTTTGAGCTGCTCGTCCATGTCTGTCATGTCATCAGCATCTGCTTTGGTCGTGCCACCGTCGTTCCCGTCCTCGCCTGATGTGCTGCCTGCGTACGTCGTGCCACCGTCATCCACACCCGACGTGTTGCCTGCGTCTGAGTCCTTCATGCTACTGTCGTTCGCATTCGTTGTGCTGCCCACGCCAGCATTCGTCGTGCTGCCCACGCCAGCATTCGTCGTGCAGCCCGCGTTTGCATTTGTCGTGCCGCCCGCGTTCGGATTTGACGTGTCGCCCGCTTCTGCATTTTGATTTTTTTGCCAGCACAAGCCCTGTGTTTCATTTTCCCACTGTGATTACGCAAGCTGTTTGACGTGCTCGTGAGTCGAGCATAGGACTGTTCAAACTCGACCTCAATAAGCCATAGAGCTCGACTCGCGAGCTTTATAAACTCGGCTCGTCAAACATTTTAACAAGTCGAGACTGAGCCGGCTCACAAGTTGGCTTGACTCGGTTACACCCCACATACATCTAACAAAACTCTAACAAACCCACCCATACATTTTCATCTCACAATACTTCTTTTACACATACTGCAACCTCTCTCCCAACAATCAATATTTCACAAATTTATTCATAGTAAAAAAAAAAAACTTAACCGAAAACAAAAATAAAGAAAGAATATTACAAAAACATGAAAATTTTAAGGGAGATTTACATGCATATCACCTTATACTATTCTATTTACATATTTAACACTTAAAACTTTAATATTACATACATACCACCCTTAGTTCATTTTCATATCAAATATGAGTGGTAGAAATGAAATATATGAGTGATAGGAAAGAAATATGAGTGGTATATTTGATATTAAAATAATATAGGATAGTATGCATGTAATATTAAAGTTTTGGGTGTCTGGAGCAAATCGGACGGAATGGCGAACTCCTTGTGAGCAGAAAGACGAGCTGATGGAGGAAGAAGAGGAAATGGCCAAATGGGGGAAATAAAGAAAGCCGGTCGCCCGTGCTCGGATTAAATTTTTTTTCTTAAAATTGCTGAGGGTCAAAATGGAAGAACGATTGAGTCGACTGAACCAGTCGCAAACTTTAACTTGGATGATTTCTAAATTTTATTTATTTTTATACGATTTTAATTTAAAAAAATTAAAATGAAATTCGTCTTCTTCTTGTGATGTCATGCATCTGTACGTTCGTGTGGCATCTGGCTAAAGCCAACATCATTTGGGTAAAGCGCTTGCCACAAGATCGTCTTCCTTGCCACAAGTTCTTCATCCTTTTAACAGGAATTAGGGAGCTTACAGGGGCCAGCTCTGCAAGGAATCAAAAGGCTGCCCAGAGCCATGGGGGAATTGGCAGCGTCGGCAACTCTGGAGAAGCAGCGACTCACAGAAGAGGAAGAGAAGGCAGCGGACGGGAAGAGCTCGCAAAGCTTAGTTGTTGCGGTGCAGCCAAGACCAAGGAAAGGATTAGTTTCTTCGGCGGTGGATTGGCTCGAGAGAGTCATAGTCTATCTCATGAACGATTCCTCGAAGCCGCTCCACTACCTGGCTGGTAACTTCGCTCCCGTCCGCGACGAAACCCCACCCTCTGTAGCTCTCCCTGTCCACGGATCTCTCCCCGTGAGCTTTTACTTGGCCTCTAATTTTGATTTCTCAAAACAATAGGATTTAATGTCCACAAAATCTGGTCTTGCTAGATTTTAAGCTAAGTCTAAAATAGGATTCAAAACAATCCCACGAATCATTAATGTTTGGCATGTCGAGAGCTGGAGTTATGCAGAGCTGTTTAAATTTGAACCTGTCATCTAATATGAATGATGGAGTTATTGTTCTTTGTTGGCAGGTGTGCTTGAATGGGGAGTTTGTCAGAGTTGGGCCCAATCCAAAGTTTCCTCCTGTTGCTGGATACCATTGGTGATTCCTTAGAGCTGTATTATGAATTTATATTTTATTTTGACTTATTGTTCTAGGATAAAGAAATAATTTTAATGCATAACCATGAAATTCTCTGGGCAGCCCTAAATAGTTGTGGTTAGGTTAAGAACGATGATGATATTTATTGAAATCCCTTAAATTATTGATACATGTTGCCTCCTTCAATGATGGTAGGGTGAAAGACTCTTATCTCCAGTCATCTCTCAATTAAGATAGGATGGTAGGCGAAATAACACTCTTAACAAGAATATTATTCTCCATTAGTGTCACAAGTGAAGCTAAATATTCTATTCTTCATTATTTTATTTTCACATTCTTTATTCTCTTATGTTTTTATCAGTTCTTTGGGTTGACTTATTGGCCATGCTTGATTATTAGATTGGTTAGACTTCAAAGAGTCTTTAGATTTTGCCTGTTGTCTTAGCTATGTAGTCTACGCACTCTCTCTCACATGCCAACCATATCTCATTATTTTTTAGTGAGATCTTGTTCTTTGCCTTCCCTTAGTTTATTTTCTTTTGAGAAAATGATTGAAATAATCCCCAACTATTTTGAGGGACCATTTTGATCCCTCAACTTTTTAAGAGAAATTGAACTTGACGTGACATAGTTTCAAAGCCACTACCTTGCTTATGCTTCTCCATCATCTGACTAGACCCTAAACTTGGCTCATTGAGTTGATGGGACTAGTTGCATCTATTTGTTGTAGAGTCAACCCAATATGCCCAATTAGATGGATAAGGCTATGTCTTGCCTACTAGTCAAGTAATTAGGAGGTCAATCCTAGATGATATCAAGTTATTGAACTAATGAGTCCAACCCAATGGGTTTGTGCCACAAAGTACTAACTTAATAAGACTATCCTCGTTTGTTTTGCTCTTGTTGAATCTATTCCAAATATGTTAAGTGGATTCATATCAAGAGCCCACCAGCTCACCCTAAAAAAGAATTATACAAAATTCTACCTTCTAAGCTATATTAATTATGCATCACCATATTTTATTTTATCCTATTACTAGGCTAACCTATGAGTTTAGCTCCCTATCACATTGCTTTTCAACTTCATTGGATAGTTAAGTTGCCTATCATGCGACCACCCACAGAGGAAAAGGAAATACTTCATCTAACGAGAAAGGTGACGACTTCAAAAATTAAAAAAAGTTTTCATTATATTTATTTCTTTTTTATTTATAATATGTACATATAATGCCATTGACCATTTATATCTGCCAATATGAAAAAAAACCGAACAGATAGAAAAAAAAACTGGCAAGATCTTGGCAACTAGCATAATATTAAGATACTGCCTCAAGTTTCCCCTATGCTAACCAATGAGCTCTAGTTTACTCTTCCTCCAGTCATGTCACATGCCCTCTCAAAGTCATTTTCACCTTTCACACTTGATATGGCTCCACCATTTTTTTCTTCTTGGCGACGACGACAACTTTGAAGAGTTGTAAGCCCCATCTACATTTGAGAGAGTGCCAACATGCTAGTTATTGGTTAGTTTTGTAAGGTCTAGATTCCTTTATGCTATTAGCTCTCAAATGTCATTTCGAGGGTAAATGACATTCCACAATTGACTACAGGAAAAATAATCATTTTAGTGGATTTTTTCATTAAAAATATTAAATTTTCATCATAAAAGAAGATTTTTGATGGATTTCTGACGGACAATGATTCAATGCTAAAAGCCATGTAGAGAACCATATTAACTTAATTTTTTCATCGAAAAACATTTGATAAAGTCTCAATTGAAGATTTCTTGAGAGTTCTAGAAATGAAAGCAGTCAATAATGCTTATATTCAAGTTATTTAGGATATTTATATATGAGCTGTTACTTTTGTTCAAACACTAGTTTGGCCAAGTGTTTTTCTATTTTAGTTGGATAGGCTTTAAAAGAATTAGCTTTAAGGCTATATTTTTTCGCTTTTTTCATGGATGTTCTTATTAGACATTTGTAAAAGGATGTACCTTTGTTTATGCTTTTTGCTAATAATATTCTTCTTATTGATAAGATTATAGAGGGTGTTGATAAAAAACTTGAATTATGGAGGTGAACTTGAGAGTCTGAATAATTTCGTTTGATTATATCTAAAATTGAATACACGGAGTGTAATTTTAGCAATAATAAATCTAGTAGTGGGATTGTGACATTGGGTGATCAAGTTATTAAAAAGAGTGCATGTTTTTAGATATCTCATATTAATTGTTGAAAACAATAGTGAAATAGATGAGGATGTTATTAGTAGAAGTCAAGTTGGATGGTTGAAGTGGAGGAACACATTGGGCCTATTGTGTAATAGAAAAGTACTACTCAAATTTAAGGGAACATTTTATAGGATGGTGGTGAGACATGCAATGCTTTATGGCGTAGAATATTGGCCATTAAAAGAGAAGCATAAAATTAAGTGTTGCCGAGATGAGATTGCTCAGGTGGATGAGTGGCTTCACACATAGAGATAGAATGCAAAACGAGTATATATATGAAAAGGTTGAATAGCTCCAGTGGCAAATATAAACCAGAGAGTCTCCTTCAATGGTTTGGTCACATAAATTGTCGGCCTTCTGATGACTCTATTAAGAGGGTCGATGTGTTAGATTTAGCCTATATTAAGTGTGGGCCTCCGAAGGAGCACCGCTCGCGGGGGTTCGAATGCAGAGGGTACGGCCGCACTATCCCGTAGGACAAAACGATCGTAGGCCTCTACGCTCGACACGAACGGGTCGATGGGAGGGCAGATTGGCTCAACCTATTATGCCCATGTCTGGGCAAAATCGAGGTCAACATTAAGAAAGGTAGATGTAAGTATTAAAAATATCCTTTTTTTAAGTAGATTTAATTGAGAATTTGACTTTTAATATAATATAATGGAGAAAAAAGATTCATATAGCCGACCTCACATAGTGGGATAAAGACTTTTTGTTGCTTGAAAACATTTTCAACAGATTACTAGTGAAATGGTTGTTGGAAATATTGACAGCTGAAAACTGTTGAAAATTAGATGTTCTAGTGACTTTATCAGTGGGAAAAGGTTGCTGAAAATATTGGCGGCCGATTGGCGTCTGATTGGCGTGTATGTAATTCTAGCGATTTTATTTGTGGAAAAAGGACTCTGGAAATACCGCCTGGGGCCAATGAGGCAAACCATCCGCCGGTATTTTTGGTGGCCTTTATCCATCGGTGGAGTGGTCGTAATTGTTCCAACGACCGTTTTAGCCATTTTTTTTGGTCATTTCCAACCGGCTATCCATTAGAAAACTGCTTGAAACTTATAGGAAAGTTAATGCCATCATCTTTTGGTATTAGAAGTTACATTCCTGCAAGTACATTTACTTTGACGCTACTTCTTATTTGGTGGCATTGTAGGCTTTGCTACCGGCATAACCCAAGCTAGAAGGTTGAAACTTCAGGGTATTTGTTGATAACTTTTTCACTTCGATTTCCATTGGAACCTCTTGCAAGATGACACCTATTCTTTGTTGAATCCTGTGTATTGAATGCCAACGTGCATTTCAGTAAACAGTGTAAACATAGAAGAAGTATACAACACAGAGAAGAGAATGTAACACTAGGCTTTTATTGTGGCATAAACTAGTGTATATATACATAGGTGCAAGCAGATAATGAAAAGACTAAACTACCCTAGGTAGTTACATAAAGTGAAAAGAGTTGTTGACGAGCAGAGAAGGTGACAACAAGCCCTATAGATCGACATAATAGTGGTTGCGGTCTGCAGCTTGAAGAATATTCTTATCATTGTATCTCAAGTTGATGGGCGGAACGACCATTAACTTGTTGCGAAGAGTATGAAGTCTTGTTGTTGATAGTGACTTTGTAAAGATATCTGCAACTTGATCTAATGTGGATATGTGATGAATATCAAGATGCTTAGCTTGAATGCAATCACGAATGAAGTGATGATCGATCTCTATAGTAAGGGTGTCAATTTCAGGTCGGTTCGGGTCGAACCCAAACTGACCCGGCACTATTCGGGTCAACCCGAACCCTACCCGTTTTTGAAAACGGGCCGGTTTTTCGGACCTGAACCTGACTTGCTTTAGGTCCGAGTCAACCTGACACAACCCGAATGACCCATTTCCAACAAAAAAATTATTAGTTTTCGAGTCCAAAAATGGGTCAATATTCACTTTTCGGGTAAAAAACGGGTTAAAAAGGGTCAATCTCGGGTTACCGAGACAAAATCGGGTTTTCGGGTAAAAAATGAGTCAATTTCTGGTCAAAGGGTCAACCCGAATCCTACCTGATTTTTGAAACGGGTCAAAATGTTGAACCCGAGCCTAACCCATTTCGGGTTCGGGTTGGCCCAAACCCGAAATTTTCAGGTTGGGTTCGAGTCGGGTTTTCGGGTTGTGTCAAATATTGATACCCCTACTCTGCATGCTTGTTGCGGGCATGAAATATCAGATTGCAGGTTACGGACATAGCCGAAACTTTATCACAAAATATGAGAGTTGTATTAAGCTGAATGTGGAAGCCCCGATAGAGGCGGCGAATCCAAATTAGATAAGTTGCAGTAGCGATAAGATAGTGGTACTCAGCTTCCATGGAGGATCTTGCAACCGTGGATTATTTTTTTACGTACTAAGTGATGAGAGCTTGCCCAAGATAAATATAATAACTTGTAGTGGATTTGCGATCTATAGAGTCACCAACCCAACCTGAATCAGAAAAGGCAGAGAGATGGAGCTTGGTTTTTGGTAGGAAAAAACCATAGTATAGCGTGACTTGCAAATAGCAAAGTGCCCGTTTAAGGAGTTGAAAATGTATAAGTAGTGGCTGATGCATATGTTAGCATAGTTTATTTAAAGCAAAGGCGATGTCCGGTCTTGTGGAAGACCAAGTATTTTAATGAACCGACAAGATGGCGGAAAAGTGCAGGTTGGTTGAACGGAAGTTGTAATGTTGGATCAGAGGGTAATTTAGATGGGAGAGGAGTAGTTAACGGTTTGCATGTAATTATATCAACATTGGATAGGATTTCTTGGATGTAGGATTTATGGGATAGGTGATATCCAGTAAGATGTCGAGTAATATCAATGTCAAGAAAACATGAGAGTTGGCCATCATTGCATGTTTTAAATTTAAGTTGAAGTTTGTGAATAAGAGAAGAGATGAAGGTTTAGTCATTGCAAGTGATTAGTATATCATCAACATAGATAAAGATAGATACACAAATGTTTTCTTTGTGAAGTAGGAAAAAGAAAGGGTTAGCGGAACTGACTGTAAAAGCTTGAGTAGTGAGGTAGGAGGATAGCATGGCAAACCATAAGCGAGGGGCTTGTTTGAGGCCATAAATGGCTTTGTGGAGAAGGCATACATGATGTGGGTTATGGGGATATTGAAATCCTTGAGGTTGGGTCATGTAGATACTTTCGTCAAGTTTGCCGTGAAGAAAGACGTTGACTACATCTAGTTGAAGTATTGGCCAATTATGGTGGAGTGCAACAATGAGGAAGAGACGAATTGTAGGAAATTTAACGACGGGGCTAAAGGTTTCGTGGTAGTTGACACCGTATTCTTGTTTGAAACTTTGTGCAACAAGGTGAGCTTTATGGCGAGCAATGGAGCCATCAGCGAGGCGTTTAATTTTGTAAATCCATTTGCAATTGATAATTTGTTGATTAGTGGGAGGTGGCATAAGTGACTAGGTGCCTTGTGCTTGAAGTGCACAAAATTCTGCGGACATGGAAGTGCCCCATTTAGGGAATTTGCTAGTAGCCATATAGCAGGTATGAGTGGACTGAACAGTGTGATGAAGATCAAGAATGATGCATGGTTTAAGGGAATCTGTGTGAAGGTGAGTAACCATGGGGTGATGAGGTTGTGTAACTGGTGGAGGAGGGAGTTGAGAGGAGGAGCTTGGGAACATTGGGGAATTTGTGGAAGACACAGAGATTATAGGTGAGGCGAAATAATTGGTGGATGATGTTGTAGAATATATATGTGGAGCAGAATTGGTAGGAGGAGGTGTTTTGGTAATTGGGGAATTTATAAGAGGGAAAAGGGGTGCAACAGATGTGGTTTGAGGGGTGGCAGCATGGGGTGTGTGGAAATACATGGAAAGTTTGTTTCATCGAAAGTAACATGACGAGAGACATGTATTTTTCCAGCGGTGGGATTATAGCACTTATAACCTTTTTATTGAATAGCATAGCCTAGGAAAATGCAAGGGGTAGAGCTGGGTGCTAATTGGCGAGGAGCATAGGGTTAAGCCTAGGGAAACAATGATATCCAAATGTGCGAAGCTGAGTTTACAAAGGTGGAGTAAGGTAGAGGAGCTCATATGGAGATTTAGAGAAGGTGGCGGCAAGCACTGTAGATCAGTAGAGCAGTGGTCGCAGTTTGTCAGCTTTAAGGCAGAGGTAGTGGAGCTGAAATAGCCGAAATATTCTTAACATTCTTGGTATTTCCCTTTCCCCCTTGTTCCTTAAGCGATTGACGACTTGGCGTGAGTTTAATTTATCCTATAGCGGACATGGAAAATGTTTTGAGGAATTGATTGTTCAAGGCCTCATTTTCCGACATACCTAATCTAGTTACCACCATTAGGCTTTTCTTTATGCAATGTTTTCTTAGTATGGTTACTTGATTGGCCATCTTAGGGATGGCAAAACAATATGCCAATATTAGGTCACTTATAGCCACCAAATCTCTTTCATCGTCACTACTTCTGTCGAACTATCCCCATCATATCCTAGTGCCTTTACTGATGGTGGCACTGCTAGATATATCTCTCGCTATTGGAAAATGAACCATTGGAGCAATTTCTAGAAGCTCATAAATTATCTCGTTAGTATTGAAGAACTTGACCGCTACCAAACCCAAAACCAATCCCAATAACTTTACATGTCAAGTTCAGGTGGTAAAAAATTGGTCACCTTTGTCATTTCAAAAAATTATACTTATAGCATTTAAAATAAGAGAATTTATAAAACCTAATTTTTTATATGCATTCAAGGTTATACACATGTTAGACAACTGGCACCTTTAAAGAAGTCATTGCCAAGCTCTTTGGATCAGTTAAACCTGGCGGCTCAATCCAAAAGAAACTCCAATAACTTTACATGTCAATCCCTCCAACTATTGGCCCAACCAAACAAGAGACTTTTTGGTTTTCCCTTAACTCCAACTTTTTTTGGATTGAAATATTTGTTGCCCAAACTGTCCTCTTAGCGCACCTCATGATTCTAGATGCTCTTCGTGAACTGATTTATGGCCAACCCAACTGCCGTTAACCTTAACAAATCATCTTTCAAGCTTATAGCTTAATCTGGATCACTCTACCAACCAATGTTCATGGCCTTCACCAGGGGCCTTTAGCTTATTGGTGATATTCCGACCATTGGTCACCTTATCCAATCAATGCCTTTCGGTTCTTAACCCAATGAAACCTTTGTGGTCCTCATCGGACAGCCCTCAATCTGCTTTTCCAACTTCCGGTCAATATATGATGCCTTGTTGGCTCAATTACCACGACTCCTCTAATGTCGCCCTGCATACTTTTAGTAATAACCCAATCCTTTGTAACTCCTCCAAAGATGCAACACCCATCTATTTTCCAGCCAGCAGGTCCCATTGAGAGCTTTCTTTGCCAGCGAGCCTTCGGCTTCCCATTATCTTAAGGTCATTGCCTTGTGCTTGTCAATGCTAAAAACTTTAGAGATTGAAATCCTATTTGCAACACCACTGGTGCTCTAGATCACCAATCAGACCATCAACATTAGGTCTGATACACATCACTCACTTTTGAGCTTGCCAGGGCACAATCCATCTGATAACTATTAGGAGTTGACACATGTCCTCTATGCATTAATGTCTATTGCTAAAGGGAAAAAGTTATCCTATGGGGCTGTTTGGTAGCATCCTGGATTTGATTTAAATAGGATTTCATAAATCCTCTAAATCTGGATTTCGAAAATCCTGAGAGGCTTAAATCCTGAAAACTGTTTGGTAACATTCATGATAAATCCTCTTAAATCTCATGTGATTGTTTGGCTATAGAGCATGATTTACTGAGCGGATTCTTCCTCTAGTACCATGGATTTCGTAAATCCGGCAAAATACAGGATTTCGGAAATCCGGGATTTAGAGCGAATCGGCCGAATTTTCCGTCTATGGAGGATTTCGTTTGCCGTGAGATTTGGTTTTGCATTTTAGGCCGTTTGGCTGGATTTCGCTCAAATCCAGCCTAAATCCTTCTACCAAACAGCCCCTATATCTTTTTAGATGATTACAATGTCCTTTTGAAGAGTCAATAAGTGGCTTTATTCCTCTTTAATATGTCTAACCAAGAACCTAGTAGATCATCATGCCACTGGTGAGATTGAACTTAATGTATAAGATGATTCAACTCTCTTCACTTCTCTTCTCCTTTGTACTTCAAGTGTCGAGTCTTACCCCAAGATGAAGTGGATCTTCTCCATACATTGTACCTTTATCTCTTTTTCATAATAGAATTCTATCCCTTACTACACCGTGGATATAAGCTACAAAGCCGAACAATGTAAGTCTCTTGTATTAATATGCATTCATAGTGAAATTCTACCCCTTATAGTGTACTGCTATGATGCACAGACACGAACACGGCGACACAAACACGACACGGACACGTGACACGTCAATTATTAAAAATATAGGACACGGTATTATAGTTTTTATATTTTAAAAATAGTGTATAAAAATTGAATAAGTAGAATTTCAAAAATAATTTAGAAATAATAAATCATTTAACTAGAATTTCTGCTTAAAATGATTAATATTAGGATATCGAGAGTCGGACGTCTATGCAGTTTATTAGTTATCGAGAGATGAGATGTCAAGAGTCCGGAATTGATGTTATGCAATAAATATTGGGCATCAATATTAAGAGGGTGTTATCATCGATATTGAGAGGGTGATTGATTTAGTGTTGTGGATAAGAAATAAGAAGTTTAATTTTTATATTTTAAATAAGTAAAAATTTTAAATACATGAAATTATATTTTTAAAAATTCATAAAATATTTAAGATACGCGTGTCCAATTTGTATTTAATATTTTTTTTAATTGGACACGTTTTCGGTGTATCTGACACGTGTTGGAGGAGTGTTGGACGTGTGTCTTGTTGGATACGGTGTCGGACATTGCACGCCTCTTTGAGGAGAAGTGTCGGTGCATCAATTGGTGTACTGTAATCTCATAGTGGAATTCTATCCCTTCTGCCTGTTACTTCTGAGGTGTTTTGACAGTTAGAGTGAGATGTATACTTAATGTGCTATATAAAAGGACTTGCTAAAAGGGACTAGTGGATGCATTAGTGGTGCTTAAATATATTTGTAAGTTATACGCTCTACAGATGCAAACAAACTTACAAAACATTCTTTTGGTTCATTTGGCAGGTTTGACGGAGATGGGTATGTGCTCCAATCATCTTACTTCCAAAGAATTTGCACGAACTTTCATTTAATAGGTTCTGTTTTTGTGCATTCTTTATTTGAACTACATGTCATACTGGATATTTCTTACTTTTGAACTTTGCTTTACATTTTGGATTTCATCTGTTAGTAGATTGAACTGAAAAAAAGCCTGAAGAAGATGGAATGTCTTAATTCTTCAGATTCGGCAGTGGAACAATCGAACAAGTTTCTTCTTGTTATGATGACATATTCGTGCTCTTTATTATTTTGAAATCTGGTCATTATTCAAGCTTTATTAGTTTCTCTGTTTTATTTCTCTACTCAGTTTTGAAACAGGTGAAATGATTTGACATACGAGGTCAAATGAGCCATACCTGCAAGAACAATAAATGGTTGCAGAATGCATGTGTGTGTCCTATATGCATTGTTGAGATCGCCAACACTAGCAATTTTGCTTGTAGATTGAGATGGCAATACTACCACTCGATAGTGGAGGACCCTCCCCTACAAACAAGCGCAATCATAAAAAACCACCTGAGATTGGTGAAAGGTGGATGTGATGCAAGGACAATGGTTCTTTTACGAATATTTCCAAGAAGTCGTAGTGAATACAAAGGGTCCCTGTAAATACACACGAGCCGCTTGTGCATAACAACAGTGGGTAATCGTAAGTACAACGAACCCTTGTGGACATAAGTACATATATCACCTACAACAGTGGTGATTGAGATGCTACAAAGGTCGTCAGATATGAAGACAACTCGATGTACGAAAAAGGACACTTGGCAGAATGGAGGGGATGTTTGAGTAAATTCTAATTAAACTTCATGGTGTTTCAAAATTTCTTCTTGATCCTGCACTTAAGAAGAAAACAGTGCTTGCATCTACAAATATAAAAAACAATAAGTCAACTATACTAAAGATCCTGAAAGGAGTTCTTTCCAAAGCAGCGATCATTAATTTCAAAGTCCAGAAGGACCCTCCCGGTGAATGAAAAAAGGGAGTGTCCATTAGAACAATGAAATATCTCATTGCAATCGGGTGACAACGCTATGATTCAACTATATCCAGAAGCAGGAGACTCGTTAGTGCACTACAATCCACTTGCAGAAAGCAATAAGCAATGCACGATAGTCTGCATGTACAAAGCAGCAAACAACTCAATCTAAAAGTTGCTACGTCACGCTACATGATCCGCAACATCTGTGCAAGCGGACAGAAGGCGTCTCTAAATATGTCCAAAATACCCCGGTACATGCATCGTAGTTTGTATACACATAGGTACACAAGGGGTAAATGCAATCACAACACCTGCATGGGTCCTGGTGAGCGTGTTATTGGTACACATATGACGTCTAGGGATGCTGCGCGGGTTTATAAATGAACGTAGTTCGAGCCCGCTCCTTCTATGCAGGTAGATAGGAGTTGACACGGGTCGAACTATTAAACAGATATATGGTCCGGATATCGACCGGAATATTTATTTTATACGTTCATATAAAGCCTTCAAGGCCTTCAACAAAGAAAAATTCATTAATAAAACCATGAAGCTTAGGGACCTGATCCTTTGTCGAGTAGCAGACAGGGTTGACTCTAATTAATGAAATTCCTGAATGACCCCAGTCACCCCGATGATGGCCATGTTGAATGCAAATCCCAACCGGAGGGGTCCATTTCAAGATATTCAAAATGTCACCCAAATGCCCATCAAAACTCCACTTCAATTCCCAAAATCTTAAAAATATGAATATTTAAAGATTGAAATTCGACCATTAAATCACTTAAAGCAAAATCTATTCGCTCTCCGCAACGGTTTGCCAGGGTGGACAAATTAAAATTTACTTCAGCTCACATAGAGCTAATGCCTAGTCGAAAATATCACTTGGATCCATTCTCAAACAATCTCCTGCCAGTAAGGACGTGGTATGTGTCCTCTAACCTGCGGTTTTGCCGCCAAATGGCACCGCAGGATAAACGGTTATGACCCGGGGCCCTCTGAACCGAGTGATTTTGTCGTCAAATGGCACCACGAAATACTGGTTATGGCCAGAGCCAATACGATCCTTAATGACATCAAATCCTTGAGATATGAATCAATAGGATATGATCGATAGGGTACAAAGCCCTCTGTTAGCTAAGGTGGATTCAAATTTGTCCCCTTAGGCAAATATCCACCCTAGGTCTACGAGGTCCCCTTGGACAAAGCAACCTATGGCTGCCGACAAGGATCCTTCTGTCAGGTTGGGTCGACTACCTCCTCTGACTAAGTAGACCAAGGATCACGATGGCCCGGAACGACGGAACCATGGGATCTTGATCGGGTCCATCATCCATTCCCCCACCATCCACTTTAAGTATAAGATGGTGAAATTTTCAATTTTAAATATCAAACCTTCAAATTCTCAACCATTTCCAAGCTCTTCAACTCTCAAACCCATGCTGCTACTATATTCCAGATAACATGTATTTATACGTATCTGATTGATGACTATCCTTAATCGAAAGTTCTCTATCGTTATTGGGAGGGGTAATTAACTATAGGGGCTTGCGCCTATAGGAAATCAGAACTCAGATCATAAAGTCCTCGCAAAATGAGGGAGAAATCTCTGGGTAGTGTCTTATCTACAAACCCATCTGCCTTCCAAAATTTACCCCGGAACTTAATTCTGTTAAAACTCCCCCGAAGAAAAAAAAAACAACAGCGGGCGGAGGCCGGGGCCGAATTTTCGGAGCCCACAACCAGGACCCTTAGATCTATTTGGAATCAATAAGGTTAGCTCCAACTTCTAGATCATATGCATGATCAAAAACATTGTGTAGGGGATGTTAGTATGATTATACAAATCAATGCATTTGGTTTTAGCATTAATGCATTAACTTTATTGAAGTTTATTATGTGATATAGTAGACCCGCATTGGGAAGTAACTACCAGAATCTGTTTGATTGCTTTTTGAAGATTAACGTATTTTAAGATTTCATGTCTTTAGGAAATAAGTGAATATTAATTGTTTTTTTTTAATTAATTTTTGATAACCACCGCAGAATGATTCATGGTCTGCGTATCAAAGAAGGAAAAGCAACTTATGTTTCTAGGTATGTTAAGACGTCCAAGCTTAAGCAAGAAGAATATTTTGGAGGAGCAAAATTTATGAAGGTAAATTCTGAAATCCTAAAAATGGATCTTCTTCATCCTTTTCTTCCTATTGTTCTATTGAGTTCCGAGGAGCAGTTTACATAATGCAATCAGAAAGATCTAATTTCTGGTTAGTTCATTCCAAATTTAAACCATAAATAATTATGAAATCGGTATGTTTCATTTTAATTTCTTTGCTGTACTTAAAAGATGCACCTATGATAAGTATTATTTTCAATTTATTCAAAATTTTGTGCACCAAATTGTGACTTTTTTCCATATCAAGGTGAAATTTTTGCAAAACTTATGATGGTGCTTCTGTTCCTCTAGATTGGAGACCTCAAAGGATTATTTGGTCTATTTATGGTTCAGATGCAACTTCTTAGGGTAAAACTCAAAGTACTGGATGCTTCATATGGAACAGGAACAGGTGGGTTAATATGCTTCTTGTTGATCGCATGATGTGAGGTTGGTTAGTAAGATATTATGTAATTGTAGATTTTCACACTGTTCATCAGAATTCATGACGGGGTTGCTCAAATGTTGTTTTAGAACTACGCTAATGCTTTTGTGATTCACCAAGTTATCTTATATTATTCAGGCAATACTGCTCTGATTTACCATCATGGTAAACTTTTGGCTTTGTCCGAAGCTGATAAACCTTGTAAGCATTATAAAGACTCTGTAACCTGTCTTATCTGTTTGGCACTTCAAAACTCATTGGTTGTTATATCTGAATTGCTCGTTGAATTGTTGGGAGTTTCAGAACTTGATCTATATGGAATTAGCAGTTGTTATTTGCATCTTGCAGATGTTATCAAAGTCTTAGAAGATGGAGACCTGCAAACTCTTGGAATGCAGGATTATGATAAGAGGCTTGCACACTCATTTACTGCTCATCCAAAAGTTGATCCATTCACTGGTAAGAATGATACTATAGCCCCCTTAATTTTCATTGGCAGAGTTAATGCTCATCCTCTATTTTGTTGGATGCAGATGAGATGTTTACATTTGGTTATTCGCAAACATCACCATATGTTACTTATCGTGTCATTACAAAGGATGGTGTTATGCACAATCCAGTGCCAATAACAATTCCAGAACCTATTATGATGCATGACTTTGCCATCACCGAGAATTATGCAATTTTCATGGACCTTCCTTTGTATTTCCGACCAAAGGTGATTAAGTTCCAATATGACCCTTATATGTTTTTTAATTAGAAAATTTGCTTTTCATTTAACTAGGAGCTGGATTGATAGAAAGTCTCTTTTGTTCAAATTACTTGCCTTCTTTAAGATTTGCTACAAAGCAATATTGTAACTTTTTTTAATAGTTATAAATTCCCAAGAATTTTGCCCTTTTTTTAGGAAATGGTGAAGGGAAAGTTGATATTTACATTTGATCCTACAAAGAGAGCAAAATTTGGTGTGCTTCCACGATATGCTAAAGATGAACAACTGATTAGATGGTTTGATCTTCCTAATTGCTTCATATTCCATAATGGTAATTCTGATGAATTTGCCAAGGTGTTAATTTTATTTCTGACGGAGCTAGCAATTTATATGTTATCACTCATGCATAGAGAAACTTATTTATAGGTTCATAAATTTTGGAATTCAATGTATACATTTACTTTTAAATTTTTTATACAACTTCTCTTCTTGCCTTTTGAAAATACTATTATTTTGTCTCTTTTATTTGAGTAGAGTAACATTGAGCCCCACACATGGATAGACATGGATGGAGAACTGATTTTAGAAATACCTGCACAGCCACCCGTCCCCACCTACCCAAATGTCATAATGCCTATTTTTTATTTTTTATTTAGTCATAATGCCTATGGTCCATCCTAGGAATGTAGAAGGCACGGAACTGTCTCATATGTAAAAGGTGAACATGTCTTTGCAAAACTTTAGAAGTAATAGACCTGCAAGTTAAAGAGTAGGTGGAACTTTGGGGACTTTTAATATGTGGATTTAGCTTTGTATTTTTATCGATTACCTTTTTTGCATGAATATTAGTTTGACCAAAGTACAATATGAGAAAGATTCAGGAGTTCCTTTGAACCAGCTGTTAACTTAATGTGAAACCCTCCATTATAGGGTCCTAAAATGATGGACAAAACACTGTAAATCTAAAATTCCTATGGGATAGTAAGAGGCGTGAGCTTGTTCAATTAACATGCTCAATTACAGACACTTATCCTATGAAATACTCTATTTTTTCTATGCTCTGAACATGTACATTAACCTATGAAATACTGTTTTTGAAAATTACATCTTCCTTTTTCTAGATGTAATCGGTGCAATGACTAAAGTTGACGTTATTTCTTCTCTATATGCGTATGATTTTTTCAGATCAGGTCTATTGGTCATTGACCTTCCGCACCTTTTTGTTTGTTCAATTATTATTTGATGGTTGTCCTTCTTCAATATCTAATTTTGCAATTAGTCAAGTTGATCTACTTTCTGCTCTATGTTTGTTTGTTATTATCAGATCTAGCCACATTTGTCTTTGAACCTGGAACCTTGATTAATTCTTCTAATTATTTAACTCCTGGTAATTTGGCATATAGTATGAACTTGGATCTTGATTATGAGGTAAGCATCATTGTATGATTTGCTTAAGGGCACGAGTGACGCAGGGTTATATTTCTAAATACAACTAATGTAATGTGTAATATGCTTTCATGCAAAACGATTGATGATTCGTAAATCATAAGTAACCAATTAATTCAATGATACATTTTCTTTAGATGAAAATAGGCAATATTAGAGTTTAAGGCCATTTGATAATGAAATGGTCGAGAATATTTAAGAATTTTAATAAGAAATTGAAAATAAATAAAATCAATGAGCAATTCAAATTAACTCATACATATTATATTTTCATTGTGTTACTTTTTTTATCAAGAGCAATAAATGAGCCAATAATAATTTATATTGATAAAATAGAATAAGGAATCTTAATTTTAAATTTCCAAATATCCATGCAAATCTCATTGCCCAAAACAGAACTCGCAAAAAATAGGCGCAGGAACCACAAACTTGCTTGCATTTTTGAGGTGGGAGCAATCATTGCGTCATTTAACCGTTTAAACCAAAGATAAGTCCAAGTTATTGATGCCCAATAGAGAGCAGTTGTCTTATAGTGAACTGCATGCCTACACAACCCGCAAGTCATACCCCATCACAGCCCTTTGCTTTTTTAATGAATAAATCTAAAACCGGCACTTGATAACAATCCCAATAGTAGTCCAAACAATACAAACTCTTAATATGCTAAGAAGATGAAGATATACTGCTATCCATCATAATCTTCTCAATTTATTTTGTGGGAATTAGTCTAAAGCAAATCAAGATTGAAAGTCTTTTAACCAAATAAACTAACCTAATGTTAAAAAAATAAAATATAACCTTTCTATGCATGTCCACAAAACAGAAATAACAAATATATGAATTAATTAATGGAAAGGAAAATAAATAATTGCATAAAAATTAATATTGTATGTGTTGTTTATGTGATTTTCTTTAAAATGCCCAACATGGACAAATTTTTCTCCAACAAATTTACCTTAATACCAAGGTTTTAAAAACCAAATCGGCCAACTAGTTCAAATTTTCTTGATAATATGGTTACAACCAATGGTTGAATAAGTAAACTAATTGCGGTTTAGATAAACCCCCGGTTCTTATCTTTTGATCAATCTATCAACTTTTATTTTTATTCAAATGACAAATATAAATAATTTAGACTTAAAAAAATTATTTAAATTCATTAACTCTAACTTAACCTTGTAACTCCTAAAATTCCTTGATTTGTGAGTGTTGTTGTATTAAATAATGTCCACTATAACTTGCAATATATTTATATAATTTGATTCACAAAGTTTCAAGGATTGTTTGAATTCTGCTTATGGCTACAAAAGAGTAGTTACTTAAATATTGGAGGCATTTAATTTTAAAATAATAGAAGATATTTCTTTATGTCCCATGTTTCATTAAGTACTTATCTTTATTTTTATCACATATTTGCATCATTATGATGACATTTATGTAATTTTTAAATAAATTTAATATTTATTGTTAAATCATAGCCATCCGTTGACTCTTGATCTCATGGCCCACATGGGGATCCCCCTTGGCTCTTGATCCCATGTCCAACATGGGGATCCATGGGAGGCTTACCTGGATCACACCAATCTCCTTACAGATTTCGTTGGCTGATTTAGGAAGGATTATGTTAGGGCAATTATATATTATTCCGTGATTATTTATTTCCTTATTAAGATATCTTGTATAGATCTATAAATAGGGATAACTTTGTCCAATAAAATTAAGCCTTTTCCCCCTCCAATTCTATGATTTTAACATGGTATTATAGCCTTTATTGTCGTTGCCGGACTTTTGAGATTTTTCCCCTACTATCGTGCCTTCATTATCGGCCTTGCCTTGTTGTTGCTATCATATCTATAACCAATGCAGCCTTCATTGCTTCCCTCCTTGATATTGCCTTCATCGTTACCTTTTGTCACTGCAATGTCTAAAGCAAATTCCTCTCAAAGCTTTAATCAAATAGAGGACTCTATGATGCACTAAGGAAGAAGAGGCCTCCAAAATATGCAACCTTTCTTTCGCTTAAATGGGAAGAATTACTTGAAGTGGCCTCAATTTGAGAAGCCCTACTTGAAAGGAAAATGACAGATGAATCATCTCCTTGGAGTAGGACCACAAGAAGGAGATCTTAATTTTTGGGCATGGGATGAAGCGGACTTCATGATTATGTTATGGCTGTAGAATTCTATGACTCCATAAATTAATGATACTTTTATTTTCCTGTGTACTACAAAGGACATGGGATGATGCCAGACAAACATTCTCAAAAGTTTGAGATGCTACTCAAGTCTTAGAGATTAAGGTCAAGGTGAGAAGCACAAAACAAGGAAGCAAGATCGTGATTGAATATACCACTCTCCTTCAAGGATTGTGGTAAGAACTTGATCATTACAGATGTATAGAAACCAAGTGTCCAAAAGATGATGCTATTATGAAAAGCTTTATTGAGAGAGAGTGTATAACTTTCTTTAAGGATTAAATGCAGAGTTTTACTAGGTTAGAGTTCAGATCCTTGACAAAGAGGAGACATCTTCACTAAATGAGAATATTTCTCTCATTTGTGCTGAGGAAAGCCGACGGGGGGTAATGTTAGAATCAAAGGCAGTAGAAGGTTCAACAATGGTGAAAATCAAAGAGGCGCTATGGAAAGAAAGAGGCAGGGAATTTTCAAAATCTAAAAACAAAGACTCCCTTTAGTGCAGCTATTGCAAGAAATCAAGACACAAAAGAAACCTGTTGGAAGTTACATGGAAAGCCCCAAGTAAGGAGTGAAATCAAAGAAGCGGACAAAAGGGGACATCACAAGCTAACACTACAATAAGTTAGCCCAACCCAGAACACAATCCATCTTCAGAGAGCTCAACAAAGAAGATATTGATAAACTAAATCAACTCCTGTTATTCCTTAAAAAATGACCCGCATCTTCTTCTCTTGCACTTTCAAGTGTCCTATATCTATTGGATTAAGTGTCTCTAAAAATCATTTGAAAGGTTTATGGATTTTTAACTCAGGAGCCACAGATCACATGAAACACTCTATTACCCACTTCATCAACTACACCTCTTGCCTGAGTGATAAGAAAATCATCATTGCTGATGGTTCAATTACCATAATAGCTGGCCAAGGGCATACCCCTATCTCCCTCTCTTACTCTCAAAAACATTCTTTACGTACCTCAATTATCCACAAACTTAATCTCCATACAAAAACATACTAGTGATCATAATTGCCAAGTCCTATTTAACCCTACTTGTTTATTTCAGGACCGGGGATTGAGAAAAAAGATTGGACTTACTAAGAAGAAAGATGGACTGTGCTACCTGAAAGAGCTGAACAAATCCGATATTATCAATAATGACTATTCTATTTTAATCCTATTTAATAAAAAATTTACTATTTGACTTCATCATTTTAGATTAAGACATCCATCTTTTGATGTCTTAAAAAATATGTATTTAAAACTTTTTTATGAGTTAAAAATGAATCCTCTCATTATGAAATTTGTGAGTTAGCCAACCATAAACAAGTTTCTTTTTCAAACAAAATTGAGAGATGTCATACTCTCTTCTAACTTATTCATAGTGATGAAAAAATCAAATAATTGATCTGCCCTAAAACTTTTCTAGGATCATACGAATGTAATTTTGAATATTTAAATAATCACATTGTGGTGTTCTAGAATCATAATTTATCCTATCATGTTTAAATTGAATCATTTATCATTACTTTTACCTAATTAATATGCTCCACATTTAACCAACATAATGGTAAAATCGTATGCTCTAATAAAAGTCAATTGAATTCTGGATGACTTATGGTCATATTTTCTATCGCAACTAATATGATGTATACTTTCATGTAAAGAAAAATTGAGGATTCACATATTGCAACTAATCAATTAATTTGATGGCTGACTTTCTTTGAATGAAAACATGGATACTATAGTTTAAATCAATTGATAATGAGATGATTGAAAATATTCGAGAATTTTATTAATTTGGAACCAAATAATATCGAAGAGCAAATCAAATTAATTTCCATAAATTAGATTTCCAACATGGCTCTTTTAGATTAAAATCAAGAGCATCAAACAAGTCAATAATAATTTATATAAATGAAATAGATCAATGAACAAAATTATTGAACCGAGAAAAAATTATGCCTCATGTCGGTTATACGTAGATGAATTAGATCCTAAAGGTAATAATTATTCCACCAAGTACTTGAAATGAATAGCCTGAAGAACATTGAACATCAAATATCAACTACTTGCACTACATTGACAAGGAATTCTTGTCGTGACCTTGTGAGCATGCTTGTTTGTTTATAGGGCATGCTCATTTTTTCTCCGTATGCTTTATCGGTGTAACTTCTGTAATATTTTTCAACGTCCTTATCAGCAAATGCCTGGGAGGAAGGTGATGAAGTTGTTCTTATTACTTGTCGACTTGAGAATCCTGATTTGGACATGGTCAACGGAGCTGTAAAAGATAAACTAGAAAATTTTACAAATCAATTGTACGTTTCCATACTTATTTTAATGTTGCTTTGCCATATCCTTTTGTTCTCCCTTCTGATTTTAACCTGTTATTCCAGATATGAGATGAGGTTTAATCTGAAAACGGGTGCAGCTACTCAGAAGGAATTGTCAGCACCTGCAGTGGATTTTCCGAGGATTAATGAGAACTACACTGGCAGGTGATTTTTGAATGTAGATGCCGAGGAAGAAATGTCCCAGCTAATCATCTATATTAATTTTTTGTGCACTTTTTTCCATCAAGTGTGCTTCAAATCTGTAGGCTTTTGGATCTTGCGTTAGTAATTAGAATTGGAGCATGGTTCAATACTAAAAAGAAATCCTGAAGTTTCCATTGCAGTTGATAATGAATATGTTGAATAACAACACTAGGTAATACATAAAAGTGACTTGAACAACTTATAATACAAACCTATAATTTCCTTAACGCACCTTGCCTGCTTGAGTTCTAAAATACTTGCTAATGCAATTTTAGTTTAAGTAGAAAAAATAAATGTATTGTGAATTTGAATCTGACTATAAAATCCAGGGATCATCGTAATTTGTAATAGAACTATTCATTCATCAAAATGAATCTAAGCAAGAATTAACAAACTTTTTCAATAAAGGGATCTAATTATCATGAGATCTCTGAAGGTATTATCACACAATATAAAGCCCTTCCATAGATCTGAGATCACAACTAGTTCTTAGGGAAAGATCTAATAAGAATTTTCAAAGTGTTTCAAATTTGATACCGTGATGCTGCTGTTACTGTTGTCGCCTTGTGCTAATGTTGCTATTGCTTTTGTCGGACTTCACTTTTCCTACTTTTATCTCCTCATTATTGTTGATTTTAACTTTCCACCTTTGTTGAATTAAGCCTCATTTGTGCAGCAGTGCCTTCCTATGTTAATCATTTTATCCCATAGATCCCTAGACTTATTCACTCCCCTCCCACTTTTTACACCCTCATCTTTTTGCTCATTTGTATGATAGTGATGATTGCAAAACAATAGGATATTGGAGTCAACTTTGAAACCTAAATGGAAATTTAAACTTAATAAAAGTCATAGATCAATAATAAATAAATAAATAAGTCATTGATCAATATCAAATTGACCCCAACTAATTTAAGTCTTATATCTAACAAGACAGTCTTTTGGATCAAAACAGGAATAAGGTCAACTCAATTTGAAACTAAGTTATTTGCAATCCTCTATAGAGTAGGTCAGAAGTTCGAGTCTGGGAGAGTATGCATTGATCATGGCAATTTATCAAACAATATTGGAGTTTAACCTTAGTGTAACCAAGCGGCTTAGTCCCTATCTTCTAAATTGGAGCTCAGGAGTTTGATTTTTTTGCAGATTGTAAATTGAGGTAAGCAATTTGTGAAAAAATGAGTGCGCTAGCCTACTATCACAAGCTAACAAAAAAGCACAAGCTTTCAAGGGAGAAGCTAGTAAAGCACTACAAACATAATGACCATCCAGTGAAGAATGAAAGAGTTGAAGTAAACAAAGAGAACAATGCAAGTGTAATTCTGCTAAGCAATGATGAGTTTACAAATGTGTGTAAGAGGATAGTACATTTCTTGAGCTTCATAGTTATATATCCAAGCCCCACTAGGATTCTTTTTCATATAGAAGTTGGGTCCATAAAAGTTGCAAGAAGGTTTCAAAAGAAAAATTCTTCTGACTGGAAGCTAGTGCGAAGAGACCAAAGCAAATAACAGTACAACAAATCACCTTTTAATGGAAAGAAAAGGGATGGTGTGATCCTGAGGATTGCGATGTTTTAGACTTTTCTAAGTTCTCTTCTCTTTTTAGTTTCGCTTACAACTCAATATAAAGCTTGGTGGTTATAGCAGAAACTATGTAATAAGAGTGTATCAAAAAGACTAGAGAATATTATAAAATTGAATTTTATCAATTATGCCATATGAATTTAAATTTTGGGTAACTCATGAGTCACTAAGTCTGAGTGTCACAAAAAATGATAACATAAAGTTAAAGTTTGGCAATGTGGAAGGGTTAGAAAAGATAGATGGGCTATGAATATATATATATATATAAAATATAAATGGAAGTTATGCAAATGGACTTGCAAAAAGCATACTAAACCCTTTGTAATTGTAGGACCCAGTTTAACAAATGGAGTACTTAACAATAGGACTAAGCAAAAATTATAGTTGATTCATAAAATTGACCCAATATAGTTTGGATAAGGCTAATGATGATGGTGATGATATCTAAATCCCTTTAAAAGGCCTTAAAGCAGGAGTAAAGCATGACCCTTTGATTGAATCCCATGAAAAAGCTCAAATGCCGTTACTTAGATTTGTAAAACTGTTTTCATGAAATTTTCAGTATGGGAGACTCACCTAAAAATAAAAATGACCCCCATTAAACGAAAAAATAATTTCCACTTATTCCTGTAGGAGAAACTGAAAGCCATTACTAACTTATATTGATTTTTGCAATTTATTCAATGCAAACTACTTATTGGTAAAGAATAGGAAGTCGTTTGGCTTCCTTCTACCAAAAGAAATGTCCAAGGATTATATGTATTGGCTTTGTAATTCTCATGGTTAATCTTGGATTTTTTTATTTTTATTTTTTATGCTTGTATTTATTCCTAGAATGATTTTGTTGATATTTTGTGAATTCAGGAAACAGAGATATGTCTATGGCACCATCCTTGACAGTGTTGCAAAGGTGAAAGGCATTGTAAAATTTGATCTGCATGCTAAGCCTGAAGCTGGGAAAAAAAACCTTGAGGTTGGTGGAAATGTGCTAGGCATTTTTGACTTAGGACCAGGAATATTTGGGTCAGAGGCAGTATTTGTGCCTCGTGAAGCTGGGATCAGAATTGAAGAGGATGATGGCTACTTGATCTTCTTTGTACACGATGAAAGCACTGGGTACTCTCTCTCTCTCTCTCTCCCTCCCTCCTCGCCACCCCGCAGCCATCTCTCTTTCTTTCTCTGCAGGTCAATGTAGAATGACTATTAGAAACTTTGGAATCAGATTTTCACCATTTCCATGCTATTTGTGGCCCAGTTGGTAATATCCAGTGTACTCAGCTTATCCACCGCGTGATTGTACCGTTACCACATTGGGAGATATTTCTCAGTTTAGTTTTTGAATCCATCAATAGGTGTTGGAAGCTTGATGCAATAATGTTGTCCTATTTAAAACTATTTAGCACTTTTCCAGGCTCATTTGGCAAACTGGTTTTTGAAGGTGTGACTGCATGCCTGTATTATTGTGTTTCTACGGTAATAAATTATGCTGCATGCTTGAAGGGGATTTTGATGAACTTTTTCTCAACTTGGGCTTAGCATTCGTACTGTCACTTCATGCTTTTCAGCTTTCAAAGGCCATATTCTGAAACGAATTAAATAATTTGAGCTAAATTTCCTGCAGAATGAATGAGTGTTTAGCCTTCTTCAAGTGGAAGTATGGTTTGGGTGTCATCATGACAATAATGTTAAGTTACATGAGAGTATTAGGTTTAGTCCTCCCATATTGGGCAACTGAAAAATATGTTAAGTGTAAACATGCTAAGTCCATGCTAAGTTTTCCTATTTTGGTTGGATTACATCAAGGATCAGCCTTAAGTCCATATCTTTTTGCATTAGTCATGGATGTTCTCACTAGACATTTACAAGAGGATGTACCGTGGTGTATGCTTTTTGCTGATGATATTCTTCTTGTTGATAAGACTAGAGAGGGAGTTGAAGGTAAACTCGAATTATGGAGGTCATCTTTAGAGTCTAAAGGTTTTCACTTGAGTCGTTCTAAAACTAAATATATGGAGTGTAATTTTAGTAGCAATAGACCTAGTGATGGGATTGTGACTTTGGGCGATCAAGTCCTTAATAAGAGTACACATTTTAGATATTTTGGATCTATTGTTTAAAGTGATGGTGAAATTGATTGGGATATTATCAGCAGAATTCAAGTTGAATGGTTGAAGTGGAGGAATGCATTGGACTTATTGTGCGATAGAAAAGTCCCCCTCAAACTTAAGGAAAAATTCTATAAGATGGTGGTGAGACCTGCAATGCTTTATGGTGCCGAATGTTAGCCATTAAAAGAGAAGCATAAAACTAAGTTAAGTGTTGCAGAGATGAGGATGCTTAGGTGAATGAGTGGCTTGACCCTTAGAGATAGGATACGAAGTGAGCATATACGTGAAAAGGTTGGAGTAGCTCCAGTGGAAGATAAGATTAGAGAGAGTCGCCTTAGATGGTTTGGTCACATTAAACAGAGGCCTTCCGATGACCTGGTTAGGAAAGTTGAGGTATTAGATTTGACTTATGTTAAGAAAGGTAGAAGTAAACCTAAAAATACTTGGTTAGAAAATATTAGAAATGATCTTTCTATATTAGATTTAAATGAGAATTTGATTTTTAACCGGACACAATGGAAAAAAAGGATTCATGTAGCCGACCCCATGTAGTGGGACAAAGGCTTGATGTTGTTGTTGTTGTTGTTATTGTTGTGTAAACATGCTAAGTGATTCACTTTTACTCATTGGTTTTTTTTTTTTAGTTGAAAATGGGTTTTGACCATGAGTGTATTTTGCCCAACTTGTATTCATTTTGGTCCAAACTCTCTTCGAAGTAGAGCTGATGGTTTAATTGGGATCAAATAGTTCATGTTTATGGCTGATTATGTGGGTCTTTGCTGCTTTCTATTATTGTTAAGCAAAAGCTCAAGAGTATGTGACTGATCACTATGAAAGGAACACCCCCTTTGTAACCCCAAAAATCTTGCATATCCTGAAACTTGGCGATATCCAGGTATCACGCTTCATAATCAAATACAATGATTCTTCAAATACCTCTTGAGAACGTCCTTGATCATATCATTCTAGGAGGCCTTGGGATAACTCTCGATCTAGAGGTGTCCTTCGATATCCTCTCAGCCCCATCTTTAGCTTTGCTCTTGGTAAACTGATGCTACTTTGAAGCAAATACAACAAATTAGATAAGAAGAAATTGCAAGAACTCAAGTATGGGGCTGATTTTTTATTACTCCTCCCAATGTTTAAAATTATGCAATGGGGTATTGAGGCTTTTTTTGTTCATGAGACAAGGCGTAAGCCTCAAAATCAAAAAATTGCGTAAAGTGATAATAAATATCAAAAGTGATTTTTTATATAATATCTAAATAATATGTTAAATGATGACATACTAACTTTCTATTGAATTATGAATTAACAAATTGACATATATTTGAAATAAAAAAATTGCACAAGATCTAAAGTGACAAGTAATAAATTGTGTGAAATAGAATTAAAATCCAAATATTTTAAAAACAAAACAATATTAAATATAGAAATTGCATAAAATTATCATAGAACATTAAGTTCAACTCCAAATTTTCTTTTTTCTCAATTATTTACTCATTTATATTTAATTCTTAATGAAAGCTGAAATAGTTGGCAACAACTTAGGAATTATTTGCATTGTCATCACTGAGTTGATCTTTATCTGAGTTATTGCATAATAAATTGCGTGATTTATGTTAGTTTTAACAAAAAAAAGTATACAAATATGGTGAGGCATAAGCCTCACGCTAGTCAGCCAAGATGAGATGCAAGCCTCATAAAAAAGTTAGAGGCGTAAGCCTCAAGGCGTTTTTCACTAGAATTGCGCTAAGGTGGGCCTCATATTGCACAATTTTAAATAATGACTCCAACAATGACATAATTGATTTACTAGTCAAGAGCTAGACCGGCTCTCCTACAAACCCTAGTCACTGCTAGGAACAACTTTATAAAGAACTACAACAAACACAATCTCATAATGAAAGTAAAATAACCCAATTAACCATAATATAATCTTCCTTCTCTCCCAAATTGGAATTCAAATCAACCTTTTTTTCCTAAATAAAACCTTTTCTAAGTCAAATTAGCCCTCTTTTCCTAAATGAAAACTTTCCTAAACAGCTCCCTTTTGATTCCTCCTACTTACATAATGAATAATAGCTCCCTTAGGCCCCACAAGGAGGGCCAAACATCCCCCTCCTGTTGCCCCTAGTTCCGCCCAACCACATGGTTGGTTCGACTTAGGTTGGGCTAGCTTAGCCAAGCTGGTATGAGCTGGGCATATCAATAATCCCCCCCCCCTCCCCCCCAAAGACGCATCTTGTCCTCAAGGTTTAAGTATGAGAATTGCCTCCTGATCATCTCTTATTGCTCCCATGTGGCTTTGCACTCCAAAAAATCATTCCACTTGATTAGTACCTTCCGTGCTCCTATTTCCTCTTGGCGGACCCCTTCTACTTCCATGGGTTCCAAAATGACTTCCATATGTTCTTTCAAAGTCGGGGTAGTGAAGATGGCGTGTGATCTCCTATGGCACGCCTCAGCTTTGATACATGAAATATTGGGTGCAATGCTAACGAAGGTGGTAATCCCAGTCGATGGGCTACTGCTCTAATGCACTCCAAAACCTCATAAGGCCCAAAGTATCATGGGGATAATTTCTCATTCCTCCTTCGGGCTAGTGTCCTTTGTTGGTAAGGTCTCAGCTTCAAGTAAACCATATCTCCCGAAGTATACTTCTTTCTTGTGCACATCAGCCTTCCTCTTTATAATTTGTTGGGTCCTCAATAGATGTCTCTTAAGCTCTTCTAATATCCTATCACTCTCCTCTAATTACTCATCTACACTAGATAATAGTGTAGCGTTATGCTTATAATGTATCAAATGAGGTGGATTTATCCATGGAGAATCTTGAAAGGGTGGCTTATGCCGCTGAATGGTATGAAGTGTTGTACCAATACTCGGCCCAAGCATCGTAAATAGGTCTCCACTTTGCCCAACTCTTCAGCACATCCGATACAAAGCATCGTAAATAGGTCTCCACGTTTATGTTGACCACCTCCGTATGGCCATCTGTCTGGGGATGGTATGTCGTGCTTCTCTTTAGGATTTTCCCCTGTAAATGGAACTACTCCTAGAAATGACTGAGGAACACCTTTTCTCTATCTGACACAATGTATTATGAAAATATATGTAAGCACACCACCTTTTGTATGAAAGCAATAGCCATAGAGACCGCGATGTAAGGGTGCTTTAGAGGGAAGAAGTGTGCATACTTGCTCAGATAATTCACTAATACCAGTATCACAACAAATCCCTTCGAATGCGGAAACCCCTCAATGAAGTCCATCATCATGTACTCCTACACCCTCTCTAACAAAGCTAGAGGTTATAGTAATCCTCCTAGTGTTATGGCCAAGTGTTTATACCGCTGGCACACTTCACATCTCGCCACCTAGTCCTCTACTTCTCGGCGCATCTCCACCAAGTGTAACTCCGCGGATAACCGATTGCAAGTTTTTTGAACTCTTTGAGTGTCCTCTAACTTACGCTTCCATGAAACTCCTACAATAGCTTAGGAATGTACCATTATGTTATCGGTAAAATGAATTGCCCCTGATATAGCAGCTGGGCCCCCCTCAGCGTTTAACTGGGAGGATGATTGTGATGACCGGTTCTTTCGGCCGGTTTAATTGAACCGACCGAACCCCCCTCCCTATTAACCGCGAACAGACGTCTCGCGAAAAAGGGAATTTCGCAAAACAGAGGGCGGTGAGGGCGGATGATCGAACGTCTGCGGGGAAGATTTTTGGAGTTTCGATTTGCCGTTTTTAGCCATCCAACACATTTGGGGATAAGATTTAGCGACTCCTCTCCTTTCTTAATGTTAAGAAGTGATAGATTTTGAAGAAAATTTCAACAAAAGGGAGGAAAGGCCGAGGGAAGAAAGAGAAGAATGTTAGTTTTAATTCTTTATTTTCTCTATAAATCCTTCTCTAATTCTTGATCTAAACAATCATTTAAACAACGAGAGTGTTTCATTAAGGGCAAAGGAATAAATTTGAAAACGGAGAGAAAGAAATT